GGGGGAAACTAGTGATAATTTATAGGTATGTCATATTTTACATTCTAAGTACTTTACAGCAATTGTATATGTGGCCTTGTTTTTGTCTTGTACAGTTCAAGGAAAGACTCCTGTATTTTAATATATCTAGCTTAAAATTTATTTTCCTTAAGTTACCAAGTATTGTCATACATCATGTAAAGATGGAAATCTGTTCTGAGAAATGTATGGGGCCGTCTCAGGCAAGCATGGTGGTGCATGCTGAAACTAACACAGCTGTGACTCCAGTGCGTGGTAGGGACCACCGTCTCATGCAGCCTGTCCTGAAGTGTTCCTGACTGAAACGTTAGGTGACACAGGACTGTACATGGATGCACTGTTGAAACTGGGATTTTCTGTCAGATAATTTAAAGTAATCTTTGGTGGCGATCAGCGGAACAGAAAACTGCAAAGAACTGTGTCCTGAGGGTTAGGGTCATGAACAGTCCAAGGTCACCTTTGGGCATCTAATGCTAGGAAGTGTACTTCTGTCTACTAAGCTCTGTGTGACCCTTTGATGCTGAAACACTCCTTGCTGGGCCAGGTCTTCATTCTCTGAGCTGCGCCTCTTGAACTTGGCAGACAGGGAAAGGAAAAAGCAGCCCCCCCAAACAGGCTCTGCTCTGTGGGCTTCCCCCTCCTGCATATTGGTTCCAAACTTCTTTACTGTGTTTTGTGGAATATCTTGAAGAGGGCTGAGTTAAGTCTTAGGTCTCTGATGACTTTGTACAGGTTTCTCAGAACATTTTGTTCAGTTTCTCTGGGTATTTTTCAGCTGGGTTACTCAGTTCCCCACTTCTGGAATTGAACTATTTCTTGAATAAATTAGTAATGCTTGGTTGAAGTAGTGACTATTGAGGTGAGCCCTGAAGTAATCAGCTCTATGACTGCTTATTCTTACTCGGGCTGCGTCTTTGCTGTGGCTCAGATATTGGGTTCTCTTTGGCCTGGCCCAGTCCTGGCTGTTGGAATTATTTGGTGACTGAACCAGACGGTCTGCAGACTTTGAGAGCAAAATCGCCATCACTTAAGATCCAGTTACATGTGAAGGAGACTTGTTAATGGAGTTCTTTATTTACTTAATTTTTGGACAGGCAGAGTTAGAGACAGAGAGAAGGGTCTTCCTTTTTCCATTGGTTCACCCCCCAAATGGCCACTATGGCCAGCGTGCTGCGCTGATCCGAAGCCAAGAGCCAGGTGTTTCTCCTGGTCTCCCATGGGGTGCAGGGTCCAAGCACCCCGGGGTGCCAGTGCCGCAGGCGGAGGTTAGCCTAGTGAGCTGTGGCGCTGGCCAATAGAGTTCTTTTTTAATTCCTGTGTTTGAGTGTTGTTAGTGTTTATAATTTGGAAAAATGGGTTATTTTACACTTAGGATATCATTTCGGGCAGTTAATGATAGATCTCCCTAGTAGTGATACGTACATTAGGCACCAGTTACTAATGGATGCTTTTCCTCTGTGCCATGTGTGATAAAGCTGCCTATCTCTGCAGTGTGATAAGTCTGCCTATCCTGGGAAGAACATAGCCCTTCCAGTTTCTGGTTAGGTTTCAGGGTGGGAGGAGAGTTAGTGACTGGGAGCTATCAGAAAATGTAAGGTAAGCAACTTAAAAATACTGATATGTCAGGAAAAATTTTTAGCTATCTAAAGTAGTCATAATAATAGAAGTGATGACTTCTTTCAGTCAAGTAGGAACTAGAAATGAATTACATAACTTAAATGCTCATTTTTCATTAGAACAAATAAAAGTGAAGTAAACATTTTCCATTATATAAGTAGTACAGTCACATTATAGAAATAACAACGTAAAATTATTCTTCTAATGAACTTAATAATGGAAGCACTATTGATTTCTGGTAAATGAATGTTTTTAAAACTCACTGCACTCCTCATTTTACTTTGCCAAAGAATGAGAATCTAATATAGGAAAATGTTTTGTTTTGGTACAAGGTTAAGGTACAAGATTGCTTATTTTGTCCTGTTGAGATTATCTTAATTAAAAAATAGGCTGAGCCTCTGAATTTTCATTTTACCCTAAATTTATCATCAGATATGTTCCCATTGTGAAGGATAAGGATTGAAGAAAGCTAGGATTCAGTTGTTACTTAACCCTCCCTGTGTGTGTGTAGGCGCCGAGGGCCTCCTGGTATTCCTAGTGCTTGTGCCTATGTCTGTAAGTGAAGGAAGGAGATAGTTACTGCCCATCTGATTGCGTGTTGGTTGAGGAGTTTGATCATCTGTGAATTTTCCCCTCCAGAGATGGGTATTCTTGTGAATGGCCCCTGAAACCTAGTGCAGGCTGCATTCAACAGCTAGGTATTGTGCTTGAAAGATGAGAAGTTAAAAGTGTTCCGCAGGGCTCTGTGAAAGTGAATTATGGTAGAAAAGACAAGATGTGTAGAAGTCCAGGGAGAGAGAAACAGACAGACTTGATGAGGAAGATAAGAAAGACATCAGAAGAGTGTGCTGTTAGCATGCAGCCCTGAGTGGTACTCTGTGCGTGGACCCTGGGAGGTTATCTATCCGTCATGGGCAAGTGGGGTCTTCCCTCTTTGGCTGCTAACCTCTAGCAACATCTCACCATCCTAAAGACTGTATACTTCATGATGCTTAAATTCCTTCACTCGGATTCACTCCTGGGTGGATGGAGGCATTTCTTGTTACAACTCCTGTATCTTCACTGTTGAGTGAGATGATATAATGTTGGTCTGTTGTTTGTTGTTTATCTTAACCCGTAATGGCTTTGACAGCATTCATTAAGTCACAAAATGTAAATAATTAGATGTTGCAATTTCCTCTGAAAAATTGCTTTAAAACTGACTTTGCCTTAGAGGCTCTTTAAAGAATTTTTAGGTGGATTTTATTTGAAAGTTGAGAGAGAGAGAGATGCATTTAAGGCTGGATGAGTGGATCAATGAAGTCATCTCCAGGTTGCCCTCCACATGCCTGCAGTAGGTGAGCTGGGTCTGGCCGAGGTGGGAGCCAGGAACTCAGTCCAAGTCTCCCACGTGGACGGAGCAAAGACCCAACTACTTGAGCCATGAGCTGCTGCCTCTGGGAGTGTGTGTTAGCAAAAAGCTAGAATGAGGATCAGAGCTGGTGTTTGCACAAGGCACTCAGATCTGAGGCGGCAAGCATCTCAAGTGCATCTCCTGTTCTTTTTTTTTTTTTTTTTTGACAGGCAGAGTGGACAGTGAGAGAGAGAGACAGAGAGAAAGGTCTTCCTTTGCCGTTGGTTCACCCTCCAATGGCCCGCCGCGGCTGGCGCGCTGCGGCCGGCGCACCGCGCTGATCCGATGGCAGGAGCCAGGAGCCAGGTGCTTTTCCTGGTCTCCCATGGGGTGCAGGGCCCAAGCACCTGGGCCATCCTCCACTGCACTCCCTGGCCACAGCAGAGGGCTGGCCTGGAAGAGGGGCAACCGGGACAGAATCCGGCGCCCCGACCGGGACTAGAACCCGGTGTGCCGGCGCCGCTAGGCGGAGGATTAGCCTAGTGAGCCGCGGCGCCGGCCCTCAAGTGCATCTTGACTACTGTTTAGTGCTCCCTTTCCCACATGTTTTAAGCAGTTGGTACAGTTTTAAGTTATTTATCTGAAAGAAAGAAGAAGAGCTCCCATTTACTGGTGCTTTCTCAATGCCCAGCTGACACGTGGGCAGGGTCACTGCCAGGAGCTGGGAACGCCATCCAGTTCTGCGAGGTGGATTATCCTAACCCAACTGTTTGAATCCTCACCATTGCCTTCCAGGATCTAAACTAGCAAGGAGCTGGAGTTAGAAGCTGTTGCTGGTTATGGAATCCAGGTACTTCGACATGGGACTACTGAGCTAATCGCCTGTCCTTGTATTTGGTTATTTGTTATAAAATGGGTCCTTCCTCTCGCTGTTGAGTGTTTGCTTGTTTGCTTTGCTTGTTTTGTTTTTGTTTTTGTTTTAGATTGTGTGTTTTCCTCTGCAGCAATTTCCACAACATGCAGTGTTTGAATCAACTTAGGTTTATCATGATGTGTGTTTTAGGAAAGAAATGTGTTGCCTTCCTCACCAGATTATCTCCGTTATATAAAGTGTTTTAAAATTTGAGTCCTCTATAGGAGAAAGGTTGAAAAGGAGATAGCGTGATGAAAAGACCAAGAACTGAAACTGCATATGGCAAACTTGCTGGGTCCGAGTTGATGAGGCAAGGCAGGCTTAGAGGAAGCTGTTTGACTGAGGTCAAAGACGGCAGGCGCCCAGGTGAATTACTTGTTGAATCTGACTCTGCCTGCGGGGCTTGCTCTGAGTCTGCCAGTGGTAATCACCGTGTTCAGTTCTGTAAAAAAGAGATGGCTGCCGAGGTTACTCGCTCAAAACTCCCTTTTGGATTTCTTTTTAAGGATATTCTTTTTATGTATTTGAAAGGCCGAGTTAGAGAGAGAGAGAGAGAGAGAGAGATTGACCCTCCCTCTGTTGTTTTACTCTGAAAATGGCTGCATTGGCTGGGGCTGGGCCAGACTGAAGCCAGGAACCAGGGGCTTCTTCTGAGTCTCCCCATGTGGACGCAGGGCCCCAAGGACTTGGCCATCCTAGCTGCTGTCCCAGGCGCATTAGCAGGGCGTTAGACCCGAAGTGGAGCAGCCGGTGCTCAGACTGGCCCCCACAGGGGATGCTGACAGTGCGGGTAGCGACTTAACTCGCCACGCCACAGTGCCAGTCTGTCCTTTTTGGAAGTGACTCAAGTGGACAAACCGAGGGTTTAAACCCCGAAGCAGCCGGTGAGGCTGCTCCACGAGCCTGGGTTTGATGGCAGCCGTGATACTCAGAAGGTGAGACTGTGTACCGCATCAGGTTGCAGCATGGCAGGTTGATGTGTGGTTATCAGTGACTCTGAAGAGTAGTACCTCATGGAAAATCGAGTGACCCTGGTGAACAGTCACAGACTGGATTGTCTGATGAAGAAGGCATTTCACTCCCACACTCATTTCCCCACTTGATGTGATCTGTGTGCAGGGGGAGGCAAACAACGGAGCCCTTACTCCCTCTTCCTCCAGAGGCCCTGCGACGGAAAGCTCCCTCCTTCACAAGGTACAGTCGATGCTTCCTGCCCGCGGGACGTCGGTGTCACAGCACGGGCCGCATCCTGCTGGTGCTGGCCCCTGCAGTCACCGTTGCAATCTCCAGTCCACACTGATCACTTTGATATTAGTGCTCTGTGTAACATGTTGGGAAAGATGTTTCAAGATCCTGTAGAAATCAAAACAAAAGCCAGCCTAACGTTTCTATCATTGAATTTTGCTTTCCAGTCTACAGTGACACTTGTAAAGCAGCCAAGTCTGTCAGATATTGTCAAGAGACAGGGTGGAAGAAACTGCATCGTTTCCTGGTATCCTGTGAGCAATGCAAGCTGTAGGCAACGTGGTTATTCCTTATTTGTGCTTGTGAACTCATCAAGGCCCGTGGTTTATTTCAGGATTTGCGTCTGTGTGTGTAATGGTCCTGGATCATCGCAGTGTGGGGGTGTGTTGGAGCCGAATAGGCACAACCCCTGAATTACTTGGCTCCTTGTAGGAAAATGCCCTTTGACCCCTTGTTTTCCCAGGGTCTTTCTGCCTACCCTTCAGTCTGTATTTCCTTCATCTGCATAAGGATTTGGTGTAGCTGGAGCTCTTGACCTTGACTTAACTGCAGTCTGTCTTCTGTGAAGCAGATTCGAGGAGGCTGGTGCTGCTGCTTGTCCCAGAGTTCTTTTCAGGAACAGAGCAGGACCGGCAGAGTGCACAACGCCTGTGCCACAGGTGCCTTCGGGTGCTGCTCCGCAGAGGACTTGCCCTGTGCCGCGCCCTTGCCTTCCTCTGCGAGCTGGCGCTCCTTAACCTTGTACTGCAGACTCTTCACGTTGGAAGCGTCAGAAAAAAAATCATTTTTTGCTTTATTTTCATTTCATATGCAATTGACAGAGGCGGAAACGGCGACCTTGTGTGCTCTCGTACCAGAGATCCCGGTGCTGACGTCAGAAGGCTGAAGCTCGGGTTGCGTCTTCCCTTTGGGTGGTGTGGACCCGAGTACTTAAGTTGTTAGCTGTTACCTTCCCAGGGTGTGCACTGGCAGAAAGCTGGAGTGGACACGGGAGCCCAGGCGTGCTGATGTCCCAGATGGTGTCCTTCCTGCTGTGCCTGGCGCCTGCCCTGCCTTTGAAACGCTGACACTGTCTAATTATGTGAGGTCTGAGAAAGCCCTCTGCCTTGTCGTGATGCCCTTGCTCTTGAAACACGGCGACGGTGTAAACATAAACCAGATCTCTTCACCACCCTTGAAGCTCGCCGGCAGCTTTCCCAGCCTCGTGCCGCTGGACGGAACCCCTGCCCGTCTGTGATTGATCTCCGTCCTCTTAATGTGTAGCCTGCTGGCCTTTATTTTTTCTGGTTGATTTTTGTCCCACCTTGGGTCGCATGTCACCTTTTCAGAGAGGTCTTCCTTGAGTGTCCCGTCTGGAGCAGCCCTCATGGCCACCTTTCTGAGCAGTCCCTGGCACTCTGCCCTGTTTCAGTGTGGCTGTCTGAGGGCCAGGTCTCATTCTCTCTGTGTCACTTGAACTCTTAATCACGGTATTGAGAAGAGAGTGTGTGTTTTCTGTTATTTCCTCCCTCTCTTCTCTGTAGCTGGAGCCTAATTTCCCAGTGTTGAGATTGCTTTTCTGTCAATTCTTCTTTTTTTTTTCTTTTTCTATATTCATTTACTCCTTTGCGAGGCAGTGTTAGAGATACCGTCTGTCCTCTGGTTCACTCTCCCGATGGCCTCGATGGGCCGGGCTGTGCCAGGAGCTGGAACTCCACCCAGGTCTCCCATGTGGGTGGCAGAGACCAAGCACTTGGCCCACCACCTTCCCCTCCTCTGCCAGGGACAGGAGCAGGAAGCTGGATTGGAAGTAGAGCAGCTGGGGCTCAGACCACTGCTCTGAGATGAGACGCTGGCTTTGCAGGCAGTGCCTCCACCATTGTTCTGTGATGCTGTCCAAGCGTCTCGATTCTTGGTTAGGTTCTGGGCGTATTTCTTGCCCCTTTGTAGCGCTGCATCTGTTCTCGTGCCCTCTGGCCCTCCCACTTTTAGCACTCTGTGCTCTCATTAGTTTACAGAGGCCCACACTTTCTGGCTCTCCATCACCTCTGTTCCAATGACTTCTTACACTCATACTGATTTCACAGTACTCTTACTTATTTTGTATAAGGTTTTATTTATTTATTTCAGAGGTAGCATGACAGTGAGAAGGTTAGATAGAAATGTCTTCCATTCTGCTCATTCACTTTGCAGTTGGCTGGAGCTGCTGGAGCTGGCCGGATTGTAAGCACTTAGCCAGCTGTTCTTCCCAGTTTCATGTGGGCCTAGACTCCCACTCACTTGGGCCTTCCTCCACTGCACTCCCAGGCCATAGCAGAGAGCTGAATTGGAATAGGATCACTCAGGACATGAACTGGTACCCCTGCAGGATAGGATGCCAGTGCCTCAGGAGGAGGCTTAAGCTGCTATGCACCTGCGCTGAACCCTTGAAAATACTGTTAACAGTACTTTCTTCCATCCATCTTTACAAAGCAAAATATTTATTTATTTGAAAGTGTGGGTTAGAGAAATAGATCTTCCATTTGCTGGTTCACTCTCCCACTGGCCGTGATGGCCAGAGTTTTTCTGATCTAAAGCCAGGAGCCAGGAGCTTCTTACATGTGTCCCATGTGTGTGCAGAGGCCTAAGTGTTTGGACTATCATCTGCTCCTTTCCCACCCGTCAGCAGGGATGTGGATCAGAAGTGGAGCAGCCAGGACTCAAATATCACCGGCATCACAGGCAGTGGCTTAACCACTGCACCACAATGCTGGCCTCTCTCCCTCCCTCCCTGCTTTCCTTTCTCCCTCCGTCTATCCCACCCTCCCTTCTTTTTTCGTCTCCTCACTCTTCCTTCCTTCTCCCCTCCTTCCTTCCTTCCCTTCTCTTTCTTTTTTTAGATTTGTTTATTTGTACGAAACGTAAGGTGACAGAAAGATTGTCTGCTGGTTGTGATTCCTCTGCCTTAGCAGCTGGGGCTGGACCAGGCTGAAATCAGGAGTCCCTAACTCTCTCCAGGTCTCCCTTTTGGGGGCAGGCTCTCAAGTACTTGAACCAGCCGCTGCTGCTTCCCAGGTGTTAGTAGGGACCTAGATCAGAAGTAGTGCGGGCACTGCAGTATGGGATAGTGGGCTCACAAAAGTGGCGGCCTCTCCTGCTGTGCCACAGAGGCCTGCCCTCTTGCATTCCTCAGTTCTGTCCTTGGCTCTCCTCACGTGCTCCTTGGGGGTTTCTTGCCTCTATGATGACTCTGCATTTATAGTCTGGCTCGTTGACAGTTTGCTTATGTTTAGTCTTATATGTTAGTGGGGTTCTGTTTTTTGTTTTTGTTTTTTTTTTAGGACTTAGTTGTTTACTTATTTGAAAGAATTAGGAAAAGAGATATCTCTTATCCACTTGTTTACTCCCCGCTGGAGACGCTTTTGAAAGCCAGAATGCAGAATTCAGAATGCGGAATCCTGGGCCATACCTTTAGAGATGTGGTGGAGTTGGTGAGGGTCGCTGCCCCTGGAGTGACAGGTCTGCAGCTTGCCAGGTAATGCTGACGCATTGCTGTAATGAGTACTTCTTGAAGGGCCAATTCCAGACTTTCCACTCTGCCTCAAGCCTCTTTTCTCATTCATCGTCTTGCGTGTTGACTGCTGTAATTCCTTTACTGAGAGAAAGGCTTCGTGCTGAGAGTACTCTTAGTTTTCCTTTGAGGCCATTTTCTCTGCTTAGTCCCTTGGTCTCATTGTGTCCTGTTGGATGTTGGAGTATGTTTGGGTCCTGGTAATCTGTTGTCCTCTCTCTTCCTCAACCTCCAGATGAGCCTCTTCTCATTTACAGTTGGTTCAGTTCCCTTCTATTCCCTCTCTTGGGAAGAAAAACAGTAGCTTAACCCTTCCAGCACAAGTGTCTTCAGCCTCCACATGGGTTTTGGTTTTCAGAGTTTGCTGGAGTCCTGCTCACAGGTCATGTGGCTCTTAGGCCTCCTCCTGCCTCCACAGTTTCACATCACTTTACTGTTCATTTTAAATACTTCCTGCCTTCAGCATCAACCCCTACAGCCTCTTTGCCAAACCCCAAATTAATAAGCTGCTTGACAGCCAGGGTTGTCGTGTATTGCCATTCCTAATATGGGCACTGAGTATACTTTTGTATATTGTCTGTCTCTCTTTCACCCACATACAGACAGCCTCATATTATCACTTATGAAAGAGGATATTTAGGATAATTGATGCCTGTTTTGGCATGTTTTCTAGAGAGGTGATAGGAAAGGGAGGAAATACTGCTCTGAGCTCTTTCAAATCTGACAAATCCATCCCCCCGAGGCAACCTGCTGCAGTACTCTGTTCCGTTTGTACTGAGATGGGCTTTTACTGCCATCTGCTGTCAGACGTAAGCAACTGTACTTCAGCCTGTGGTCTTCAAGGATCTTATATGTCTGATTTTAGGCAATCTGGGTGTCATCTGTTTGTTTTCATCCCCAGAATCAAGCTACCAATAAAGTCAATCAATTCAGTGCATAAGACCGTCATTGGTGTTTTTTTTTTTAAGATTTATTTGAAAGGGTTACCGAGAGAGGTAGAGCCAGAGAGAGAGAGAGAGGTCTTCCATCCACTGATTCACTCCCCAGATGACTGCAATGGCCAGAGCTGAGCTGATGTGAAGCCAGGAGCTTCTTCCAGGTCTCCAGCTTGGGTGCAGGGACCCAAGGGCTTGGGTCATCTTCCATTGCTTTCCCACGCCATAGCAGAGAGCTGGATCAGAAATGGAGCAGCTGGGACTGGAACCAGCACCCATGTGTGTTGCCGGCGCTGCAGGCTGCAACTTTGACCTGCTGCGCCACAGTGCCAGCCCTGTTCTCTTTCCTGGAACACTGTCCTGAGCCTCCCTTGTAACCTACGCTCTTGGTTTTCTCTGGTTGCTCTCTTACTCTGTGCTGCCCATTTCTCTCTTTATGTTGTAGTTCTCACCCATGTGTTCTGTGATCCCCTCTTCATCCATACACCTGCCTATTTACGGACAAATTCACGTTGATATATTTGAAATGCAGAGGGGAGAGGGGGAGAAAGGGGGAGAGAGAGAGGGAAGGAGGAAGAGACAGAGAGGGAGAGAGAGGCCTTCCATGTGCTGGTTCACTCCCCAAATGGTCGCAGTGGCCAGAGCTGGGGGATCAGGAGTCTGGAGCTTTTTCCACGCCTCCCATGCGGGTACAGGAACCCAACCACCAGGATCATTTTCTGCTGCTTTCCCAGGCACATGAGCAGGAAGCTGAATTGGATGTGGAGCAGCTGGGACTCAAACCTGTGACCAAATGGGATGCCAAGAACAGCAGGCAGCAGCTTTATCTGCTACGCCATAGCACTGCCCCTGCACTGGCTCTTGCCTGTTCCAAGCAGACTCCTGATGAATCTCCCTCTACCTGGTCTTGACTGCATTCACGTATCGCTGGTGCATCTGACTGACATCAGCCTGTTCGTCTAAGAGTTGTGTGGTATCAGAGGCTGGTGCATTTGGCTGACTATTGGGCTTGCAGCACTGGTCAGTTCCTGGGCTGTGTGTTTAATCCATAGCCAGTCTGGAAAAACAGTGTTGCTGGGACCCCTGTAGTTCAGCGAGTACACTGGAATACAGTGAGACTATTTAATGCTTCATTTCAGTTTTAGTGTTCTGTCCTTTACTGATTGTTTTTTTCCTTTTCTCCCCGGGAAATGTAATTGTGCCTATAGGAACAGTGTGTTTGCGGTGTTAAGCAGTTGGTGTTCAAATGGACTTTAGAACAAACACCAGATTTTATACTAGAAACTTCCAACCACTATGTTAAATTATTTTTTAAAATTTTCATTTTACTTGAAAGGTAGACAAATGGAGAGAGATCTGCCATCTACTGGTTTACTCCTTAAATGCTCACAATACTCCTGGCTGGGCCGAGCTGAAGCTAGGAGTCAGGAACTCCATTCAGGTCTTCGCATGGGTGTCTGGGACCCAAATATTTGGGCCTTCGTCTGCTGCCTTTCGGGATGTGTGTGTGCTAGCAGGTCACTATGTGTAAGCAGAGTCACTGGACCTTAACTTGGGCGTTCTGATAAGGGACGTGTGCATCGCAAGCAGCGACTTAACTGCCTCATGCACATGTTCTTGCACGTTTGAAATTGCATGCCGTTATTTTGTCTCGTAGTGTTCTAATTTCTGAAAGTCCATGATTTTAATTGTAATATGGAAGTATATTTATTAAATCATCGTCATAACTTTTTTTTTTTTTTACATTATTCATGCGAGAGAGAGGCAGAGAGACATGGACATGAGAGGGAAAGAGTGCTTCTGTCTGCTGCGTCACTCTCAGAACACACACAGCGGGAGCTCCATCCGGCTCTGCTGTGTGGGGCTGGAATCCAAGTACTTGGAGCATTGCTCCGTGGCAGGACGCTGCAGTCAGGAGCGGAGTCGGGTTCTGAACTTGGGCACCCCAGTGCGGGAGTAGGCGCTTGAACTGCCGGGGCGGATGCCCATCCTGAGTTCTCTCAGTAAAGGTTTCATGTGCTGATTTTGATTTGCTTTGATGCTTTATGAAAGAGTTTGTGACATAGAGTTCTAGTATGGATTACTTGCTGCTTTGAGTTGTTGCTTTGCTCAAAGTAGCAATGATTTATAAAAAGTTGATACTTAGAGATGGACACAAGTATATCCTAAGGATAAACATCTCATAGAGCAGCGATTTGATGAATACATACCTTGGTGGTAGCATTTGGGCTGGATAGTTAGAGTTGTGGGTGGATATGTGCACAGGGCCTGGGTGGTAGAGGATTTTAATAGCATCTTTGGCATTTTCTCTCTCCACATGACGATGGGAGAAATGGAGACATTGTCCAGTTGCCCTTGGGGAGAGAGAAGTTTTCACTGATAGGAAACCAGTAATGTATGCTTCCCTTGGGAAGGTTACAGGCGATGAAAAAGCTCCTGTGGGAACTCTTGGACATTCCTAGGTGTCTGAGAATGGTGGAGCTGGGGGGAGGTTGCTGATTGCCCTGAGAAAGTGGAGACTGTTTTTCACTTTTAGAATTTGTGTTTATTTAGAATAAAGATTTTTTTCTTGTAACCACCGGATTTTATTTTGTTCTGTGATCAAGCAGTGCCTTCTTTTTTTTTTTTTTTTTTTGACAGGTGGAGTTAGACAGTGAGCGAGACATAGAGAAAGGTCTTCCTTCCGTTGGTTCACCAACGAAATGGCTGATACGGCCGGCGCACTGCGCCGATCCGAAGCCAGGAGCCAGGTACCTCCTACTGGTCTCCGATGCGGGTGCAGGACCCAAGCACTTGGGCCATCCTCCACTGCCTTCCTGGCCCACAGCAGAGAGCTAGCTGGACTGGAAGAGGAGCAACCGAGACAGAATCCAGCACCCCAACTGGGACTAGAACCCGGGGTGCCAGTGCCGCAGGCGGAGGATTAGCCTAGTGAGCTGTGGCACTGGCCAATAGAGTTCTTTTTTAATTCCTGTTTGAGTGTTGTTAGTGTTTATAATTTGGAAAAATGGGTTATTTTACACTTAGGATATCATTTCGGGCAGTTAATGATAGATCTCTCTAGTAGTGATATGTACATTAGGCACCAGTTACTAATGGTTGCTTTTCCTCTGTGCCATGTGTGACAAAGCAGTGGCTTCTGATTAATGTTTCAGAGATGTGTTTTCATATTGTTAACTGACTTCAGCAGTTACATGGTGATGCAACCCAGAGGTACCTTACGTACAACCTGGGCATGTGCCATCTGTGTCTATGGGGACCATGGTATGCTAAACTTATGTTGTTTTTTCTTCAAAGGAACATGAGAGATGGCTTTAGAAGAAAAGGTTGCTACTCTTCCCATTACGTGAGAGACCGGTCTCCTCATAAAAGGGATGCTCCTTTTCTCAGAGAATCACCTGTAGGCCGCAAGGACTCTCCTCACAGCAGATCCGGCTCCAGTGTCAGTAGCAGAAGCTACTCTCCGGAAAGAAGCAAAACATACTCTTTCCATCAGTCTCAGCATAGAAGTACGTGTTCTTAAGACTTTCCCTTTTCTTTCCCGGCCTCCACTGATGAGAGTGGACTAGCATGATTGCCTTACAGGTGTTGTAAGAAATAACCTTTTCAAATGTTTGTTTTCAAACAGTTTCCTTGGTATGTAAGAGAGAGAACTTTGTGATTGCATCCTAAGTCCTCCCCTTGATATTTTTTGGTAGTTCCCCTGCCAGTCTAACTTCTTTATTCTGTTTTGCTAGACAGCCCTTGTATGTATCTGTCTGTTTTGTGTGAAAAATGCCAGTGGTTTCCTCCAAGCCTGCTGTCTAGCCTTGGAGAACATGGAGCTCCCTTGGTGTTGGTTTTTAATTTGGAGTGCGCAGATAAATCCGTGTTCCAGATGCTTGTGGCCCCTCAACCTGACCAGGATGCTTGTAGGTATAGTTGCGGGAAGTGCCGATTTTCTAGATAAGCCATTCTTAAGTCTTCTGATTTTTAGCATTGATTTGAGAGGCAGAGTGACACAGAGAGAGGGAAAGATACAGAGAGAAGATATCTTCCATTTACTTTTTCAGTCCCCAGGTGGCCACAACATCCAAGCCAAGGGAGGCCAGGTAAAACCAGGAGTCAGGAACTTCATCTGGATCTCCCACACGGGTGACAGGGACTCAGGTGCTGGGGCCATCATATGCTGCCTCCCAGGAATATTAGCAGGAAACTGAATCAGTACATGGTAGCTGGGACTCATCCCATGGTCCTGTATGGGTTAGGGGTGTTATAAGCATGCACTTAACTTGCTGTGCCACACTGCCCACCCTGGCATTTTTTTTTTTCCTTTATGACTTGCTTATTTCACTGAAATTAAAAGAAAGAGATATCATTCATATCCTGGCTCACTCTCCAGATAACTGCCATAGATGGGGCTGGGCCAGGCCAAAGCCAGGAGCCTGGAACAGCGTGTAGGTCTCCCGAGTGAGCGGCATGGGCCCAAGCACATGGGCCAGCTCCTGCTGCTATCCCAGGCACACAATCAGGAGCTGGACTCGAGGTGGAGGAGCCTGAGCGGGAGCCCCCGCGTGGGGTGCTGGCTAACAGTATTCCTGTGGTGCTCATTTATCCATGTGTAGGGCACCGTGTCACACACTGTGACCCTGTCACTGAGGTGTGCGTATGGATACTCTATCAGTTGATAACACCCTTCTCAGTATAAAGTAAAACTTTGATAACACTGTAAATTAATGAACATTATGAACAGGTCAAGATGAGATTAAAATATTGGGTATTTCATTTCCGTTTCTGTTTAGCTTACTTCCAATCAGCTGTCCTTTTCCAGTAATAAGAGTTTGGTTCAGACAGCTATTGCCTCCCTCAAGCATACCATGTGTGTTCTACAGGCCATCTCCTGTTGCCGCATGGGTTCTGTGGGCTAACGTTTATCTGTTGTCCAGTACTTGCAGAGCTAGGTAGAATGAGGCTTCCACAAGAAACATTTTTAGATATACGTGCTTGAGCCATTTTGCAGGAGGTAAGAATGTCACTTGAAGAATTTAAAACAAGCAGCCACTCAGATATGCCTAATTGCTTAAAATGCACATGGGATAATTTTGGAAGACTGAGCACTTACTTTACTGTTGAGTTCAGAGTTAAAAGGTATTTTCTCTTGGTTTTATGCTGCCCATCCCTACGACCTGTCCCCCATAGAAACACTTCTCAAGAAGGTAAACAACCTTTAGAGACACAGAGGTAGCTAGACACCTAAAACCTTTTTTCCTGAATGTGCATGGCATAAAAAGAGGAAGAAGGCGTCTTTGGAAAGTGATTGTGGAGTCCATTGCAAAATCCGAAAAAGAAAGGGAGCCTTGACAGCTTGCAGAGAAGATTCTAAAAGCAGTTACCGCGAATTTGAGGTATTTTTCCAGTTGTCCAGGCAACGGAGAGCGTCTTCTCTTGCTGGGCAGCCAGAGCCTTTGTGGAGGAACGCGCACTGTCACCGGGCGAGCTGCTGTGGCAGGTGCCCTCTGCTCCGTCCTCTGAAGGCCGGTACCTCCGAGCTGCTGTGGCAGGTCCCTCTGCTCCGTCCTCTGAAGGCCGGTACCTCCGAGCTGCTGTGGCAGGTGCCCTCTGCTCCGTCCTCTGAAGGCCGGTACCTCCGAGCTGCTGTGGCAGGTCCCTCTGCTCCGTCCTCTGAGGGCCGGTACCTCCGAGCTGCTGTGGCAGGTCCCTCTGCTCCGTCCTCTGAAGGCCGGTACCTCCGTGGCTGCAGTAATGAGAAGGCAGCCAAGTTGGGAGACTGAAGTAGGGGTACAAACTGAGTGAAGCAGAAGGGACCCAGTTGGTGCCTGCGTGTTTATTTTCTTTAGTCATTGAACTTTGAAAATAATGCTTTTTACTTCAGAGAAGTCTTGTTCTGGGAAAGTGTTTACCCCCTATGTGGGTTAACTGCTTCATTACTTGGGCTGTGCTTTAAACGTGTGTTCTATGTTCCTTTCATGTTTTCACTGCAGTTAAGAAAGACCATCTTGTAAAAAAACAATGAAGTCTTGTTTAAAAACAGCAAATGAAAAAGTAATTATTTCACATATTTATGATACTTACTGCTTCATAGCTACATCTCACAAATATTGATGACACTTTGCTTTTCTTCACAGAACTGAGAAGGGGGGTCCTTCGGTTATTAGAGACTTAGCACATTAATTAGTGTGTTAAAATTTAGTTTTATGTTGGAAATTGAACTTTTGGCAGATTTTAAATGTTTTAATAAATATAAATAACAGGTTCAAATAACAGTTTTAATTTTCTAATTCTTTAATTTGTCTTTTTATTTTTTCTTCATAATTTAAATTATAATTTCACTTATTTTAATGTGGTTTAACCTCTGCAACTGTTTAAGAACTATTCTTCATAATTCTTACATGCACTTAATATCTCATCTGGTTATCTGATGTACTAAATTGTAAGCCACAGAATGATTTTACTATTTCTTTATCTCAACTACCAGATTCCCATTTTGTGTTCACACATACACACAGAAACACACACATGAACACACATACAATTAAATTTACTCTGCTTAACCTTTTGGGTCAATCCTGTGGTATTTGGTACCACCTCAAACTCAAAACCTTGAAAGTGTTGTTTGTGTCTTGCCCTTCATTTGTATGAATTTTCTGACTCTCACTTAGTTGGGCTCTTGTAAAAAATAGTCTCTGCTCTTCCTGCTCATATGCTAACAGTGCAGCCTTTCTCCTTGTTTATCCTACTTCTTTACTTAAAATTATTTGGTAATCTATACCTTGTATCCATTTAGTTGAAGTTTACTTTTATTCCCGTTAATATATCTCTGTATTTCTTCATTTGCGAACTCTTTCTCAAGTATTTTCTTTTTTCTTCCCCCTTTTGATAGGAATCGCATTGTTTGCCTATCCTATACTATTTTCACTTTTGTTTAGGATAAGATGATTAGAAGTGACACCAGAATCACTTCAGTTCCTTCTCCTACATTCAGTTGTTAAAATACTTCTTGTGATAAATTTATTATATCCCAATCCAGCTCATTCTTTGTATAGCTCTTTATGAATGCAAATACTTTTTTATACTATATGCTTAACACTAGTTACTGTCTTAAAGTCCTATACATAAAAGACACTCTTTTGATAGAACGTTTGATGCATTGAACGAATATGATCATATTTTTCATGACTTTTCTTAGGTTTGAATACATCGACTGCTTTTGCTATTTTTGTGTTTGATATGTTTTTCAGGTCTTTTGGTTTCTTTTCATTTGTGATGCCAGAAGTGAACTTTATTTTGGCAACACATTTTATTCTTGACCCTTATTTATTTATTTATACTTTGTCATAGATGTATTTAGATAGAAAATATATGGAAAGCAGTGACGAATAGAGGGGCAGATCGACCAGCCGCTGGCTCACTCCCCCAGTGTCTGCAACAACTCTGCGTCTGTCCGAGCCAGGAGAGAGGCTCTCCATCTGGGCACCCCACACAGGAGCTGCCTCCGAGCCACAGTGGGAAGCTGGGTCAGCTGTGGGAGCAGCCAGTGCGTGAACTGTACTCTCTGCACGGGAGACAGGCTCGAAAGCACTGGCCTAAGTTGCTGAGCTACCGCGTGCATCTTGTTGGTCACATGGAGGTCATGACTGAATGAAACTTGAACCTTTCACATGCTGTTAGACAAGTTTTGTGCTGTTAAACATAGTGCCTCTTGAAATACACAAGTTCATGTGCTTGTTTGTCTTTAATGCAGTAAGAAAAGTACATAGGAATGCAAAATTTCACTTAACTAACAGGGTTTATTTTTGTCTCCATGGAGATCTCGTATGTTACTGCCTGCCAAGAACCAGTGCTTTGTCTGCTGATTAAGAGTGAGTGTGTTGTTTTGTATTTTAATAATCATGTGGAGTAGGTGTAGTGGTGCATCGGGTGTGCTGATGCTTAGGCGACCAACATCTTATTTGTTTCACATCCCAGGTACTCCCCCTAAAACTCAACTTGTGCTAATGCACCTGAGGCAGCAGGTCATGGCCTCAGTACTTAGGTTCTTGGGACCCAAGTTGGAGGCCTGGAATGAATTTCTAACTTCTGACTTCAGCCTGGCCCCGCCCTGGATGTTGTGGACATTTGTGGAGTGAACCATGAGGTGGAGGATTTCTGTCCATTTCTGTCTGTTGGCCTTTCTAATAAATAAATTAGTCTTGTAAATATACTTTTTGAGTAGCATAAGGCCCTGTCTATAAATCGTTAAAGCTTTTTCTCTGTGAATCTCAGCCTTTTTCCATGAATGTTTGCTTATACTCAGCCAGGTGTCCTCTCTGTTTTTATTTTCTTATCTTCATTTCCCCTTGAGGGTCTCATGAGAGACTTTGTCAGGAACTTTCTCAAAACTGAAGTTACAAAGCATTTCCACTTCCAAAGCAGGGATGTCACTTCTTCACTATTTGGTTTTTGTAAGTGCACTGTGCCTCTTTGGATTGATTATGTACATACTTAGAATTGCTTTGTTAATTTATTATAA